CTGTACGTGTGACCTAAAATGAAAATCCTGAGAATTTATTTCATGGAATTAGCTGATGCTATACAGAAATGTATTCCATTGTTCTCTCTTCATTCTGTTTAACACCATAAATCCACCACACCCTTCCTCACCACCTTTTCTTTGTTCACCTTCTCATTTATTATCAATCTCAGGAAACTGTTGGAAGGGGAGGAGACACGTATCAGCACTGGGATCACCTACCCCACCCCTGCCTCAGTGTCCAGCTACAGCTACCTGTCCCGTATGTACAGCAGCACTAGCGCTAGTGGAAAGAAGGAGGTCAAGGATGATGACGACAAACATCAGCAGAGCAGCAAACCCGGCAAAGGCTCCTCCCAGTCTGACGACTCCAAGACGAGTGACAAAATCAACTCTGGAGATGTGAACCCCACCAACCAGAAAAACTAAATGTCTCAACCCTCTTTCTTTCTTCCTCTCCTCCCTCCCTCTGCCTTCTCCATTACCCTCTTCTTCCTTTTCCCAAGCAATTCCCCTCCACAAAGGGGGTCTCAGAGAGAAATCTAGCGAATTTCAACTTATTCTCCACTAATTCACCTCCCACTCAGTCACGGGGCAGCAGTTGTTCTGTAGCAAACCACTAACTACTCAATACACACTCTTTGATGCATATATTCTGCATATATTCCTGGGCTGCACTGTGAGCCTTATCGTCACTTTTAACTGTACTATAACAGGCTTCTCTCAGCACATTGCATTAAGGAAATGTCTATGTGGTTAGCTTTGGTGAAGGTAGCTTATTATGCTGCAGTTTTTCCAAAAGCCAGCACAAAACTTGACTTGCAATAATATTTTCTGTCTTACAATATAAGCGGTAAGCCAGTCATTTATTGTTGTCTTTGCATCATGGCAGCCCTAGTAACAATGGCATCTTGGAGTATCATTGCATCAGAATTGCATCTGTTTCTTGACTCCAGTTAACTTCGGTATACTCATAATGCTAAAAAAAAAAAAAAAGTAAAAATAGGAATCTGGAACTATACATGGATAGTTTCGAAAACACTCCACCCAGCCAAATTCCTCTCCAAGACTG